TCCCCATTCCAGTCCATTCTACACCTTATTCCCAAAGTGATTCTCCTAGAGCACAGACCTGACCATGCTGCTCCCCCTCTCAACAAACTTCTGTGGCTCCCTATTACTCCCAGGAACAACTCTTCTGTTTGGCATTTAAAGCTCTTCACAAATTGGCCCTAACTTACCATTCCAGTCTTCTTATACTTTACTTTCCTCCCCAGAACCCTCATGGTTAGGCAGCACTGTCCTACCTATTGTTCTTTATACATGGCACTCCATTTCTGACCTCCATGTCTTTGTCCTGGAGAACTCCTACACATAGAAGGGCCTCCTTCCTGACCTTTATCTCCCAGAATCGCTCATTTTCTTCAAGTCTCAGTTCAAGTGCCACCTTCAACACGAGGCCTTCCCAATCCTCCCCTCCCTCCCAGCCGCTGATGCCTCATTGCATTCTCGTACAAGTGTATGGAATCTCTCCTGGCTAGACCGTAAACTCCCAGAGGGCAGAAGTTGTTTTGCTTCTGTCTTAGTGGTCATGATTCTCAAATCACTCAATCAATATATTAGGTAACAAACATTTTTTAAGCAACAACTCTGTGCCAGGCACCTTTCTAGGTGTTGAGAATGCAGAAATGGGTAGTTCTTCCTATTGGTTCTAATTCTTCCTTACAACATGACTAATGTGAAAATACATTTAATAGGAATGTATATGTAGATCCCATATCAGATTGTGTGCCATCTTGGGGAGGGAGGGGGAGAAAAATTTAAAACTCAAAAGCGTATGGAAGTGATTACTGATAAATCAAAATAAATTAATAAAAAAAGAGAATACAGAAATGATGATTCAACCCACATGAGGAGTGAGGAAATGCATAGGGAGAAGAGGTGAGAGCCAAACTGAGTCCCACAAAACACTCCTGCCCAGGGGATGAGAGGCAGTACCTGAGAAGGAGCCGTCAGACAGCCCAGATGAAGGAGGGAGCAGAGCAGCCTCACGGAGCTAGAGGAAGAGAGGAGGCTGGGGGCAGAGACCAGCTGAAAAACTGCAGAGGTCAAGGAGGAGGAGGACTAAAGCCGGTGGCTTTAGCAGTGAAGG